GAGGTCTGATAGGAGGCTGTTAGGAGGTCTTTAGAAGGTCTTTAGAAGGTCTTTAGGAGGTCTGATAGGAGGTCTGATAGTGATTCTGTCAGGAGGTCTTTAGGAGGTCTGATAGGAGGTCTTTAGGAAGTCTGTTAGAAGGTCTGATAGGAGGCTGTTAGGAGGTCTGATAGGAGGTCTGATAGGAGGTCTGATAGGAGGTTTGATAGGAGGTCTGATAGGAGGTCTGATTGGTCAAATAGGAGGTCTGATAGGAGGTCTGATAGGTCTGTTAGGAGGTCTGATAGGAGGTCTTTAGGAGGTCTATTAGGAGGTCTGATAGGAGGTCTGATAGGAGGTCTTTAGGAGGTCTATTAGGAGGTCTGAGAGGAGGTCTGAGAGGAGGTCTGATGATCAGAGAAGGCAAACCTGCTCCGTCTCCTCTCAGAGCCGTGGGGGGGGGGAATTATTTACTGTAAAAACCTGAAGACATCTGTCCCCGGATCCCCCGACAGGTTTCGTGTTCGCCCACATGGAGCCCGGTCTGGAGTACCTCTACCTGTCCTACAACCGGCTGGACGCGGAGGGCACCGAGCCCGAGTCCTTCTTCGGGACGTACCACTCCATGGTGGAGGTGTGTCTGGACCACAACCAGCTGGCCAACGTTCCCTCGGGGGTCAACGAGATGACCAGCCTGCACTTCCTCCGGCTGGACCACAACAGGATCAGGTACAGGGGCCTCACACAGACCTTAAGAAGGTCCAGAAACCCTAAAACCCTCTGTCGTGGAGAATTTTCTTTTGTTTCTTTGTTAAAGCTACTGGTTGTTGATTCCTTTAGGGAGAGGCGTCTCACACGTCTGGAGACTGTGGTTTTAGCACCACTAGGAAATGCAACAATTTCCTTAATCCCATCAAGGATGAATCTCCCATTCCTGTTTATCATTGAAATTGTACGACTTGCCCTTTTGTGAAACCCTCACACCTGAGAAGGTTCTCCTTTTGACCAATCCACATGGGGCCCCCTTCCTTTCTCCTGAGAATATGCATAGCTTTTTTCCCTTTGGAGATTCTCCATGGGACTTCCTGAGGACTGAATGTAAATCAGAATCTCCTTGTTTGTTGTTGATAAGAAACACAGTGGCCTTTTTCCATTCTTTTATTCATACGATGTTATAAAAGGGGATGTGCCTTTTCATCGGGGCGCACTCACTTGGGTTTTACTCTGTGACCTGCGTCTTCGAACGCTGTTGCCTTCGAATAAATCTCTTTATTGGACAAGATCAATCTTCTCTAATTATTAGGAAACTTTGCCTCACTCCTTTAAAGAACTTTTTTCCATAACACGTCTCAGTCTTCTCTGTCATCGATCTCCAGAGGACTGTTTTGTTTGATCCGCCGTCCCAACCTTCAAAATCTAAACGTTTTGGTTGTTTAGTCTGAAAATGGTAACTAGGGATTTAGAGGATTCAGCATCGAAATGGCTGTGAAGCGAGCCTGAATCTGGTTTTTGGTTATTTGTCAGGAAAAGGTTTCTGAACGCTGTGGGACAGAGTTTAATCTGAGGGCGTCAGAACCCAAATCTGAGCACAACAACCATGAAATCATCCTGGAAACACGAGCAAACAGCGTTCAGATGAGATGAACATGTGTGAAATGTCTGTTGGTTTGACTGGAAAACCTGCAACTCGTTACAGAAAGGCCGTCAAACAAAGAGAGAACAAGTTAAATCCGTTTTATGTACGGAGCCAAATCACGACAAAAGGCATTTAAAGCCAAATACAATCCAGTTCATTTAAAGCTGATAAGAAAAGCTTTAAAAATGTTTAGTTAAAAAGTAACTCCAGACTCTGTTTGAGCCCCGCTGCTCTCAGCCTGAAGCTAACTCTGTTAGCATCCATCCAGCTGAACCTCCCAGAGTTCCCACAGTGGGTCAGAACCTGAATGAAACCATTAATATACATTTAAAATATCTCAAATTAGGTACTAAGAGGACAAAAAAGGGGACAAAGGACTAGAAAAGGGACAAAAACAGAGCTGAAAAGGCCCAAAATTGAGCTAAAAAGACCAAGAACAGCATGTAAACCTCCCACAGTGGGTCAGAACCTGAATGAAACCATGAATATAAAAGTAAAAGATCTAAAACTTGGTACCAAAAGGAAAAAAAAGCTGTAAAGTTCAATACTGGAGTTATTCTGAGTGTTTCAAGACTCTGTTTAACCCTGCTGTTCTCAGCCTGAAGCTAACTTTGTTAGCATCCATCCAATCTAAAGATCTAAGATCCAAAGATCTAAAACTAGGTACTAAGAGAACAAAAAAAAAGTACAATGGACCACAAAAAGAGCTCAGAAGGCCAAAAACAGAGCTCTGTTTGGTTGTTATGGAAATGATTATATGAGTGTTTAGCTGAGTGGGACCTTTCTGTGAGTGATAAATGTTTATTTTTATGTATCTTAACTCATTGGCTGCCAAAGACGTCTATAGACGTCTTCTATGTTTTTCAACGAGAGTGGCTGGGGGACGATCTGCTAAAGCTTGTCCGTAAATATCAGGCTTCTAGACAGAGTATGTAGTAACAAATTGACCCTCTAGGTGGCAGTGCCACTTTTGATGGGAGATGAGCATATACTGTAGGCAAATAAAAAAAACGTAATGGTTCGCTATGCAAGAAATGGCGCCGGTGAGACGCACTTCGAGGAAGAACGGAATAAGGTAGAAACAAATGTTTTTTCCTGATGAAAGAAGAGAATCTACTCTTTCTTTTGGTGTGTTCGGTGTTTACATAGTCATAGCACAAACTATTCTGTGGCTCTTGAAAAATCAGTCAAAATGCTCTTAAAAAAACTCTGGCAGTATGGGACTCTCTGTTCTGAAAATGGCTGGCAGTCAATGAGTTAACATGGTTTAATGTGGGTTTCCGTTCCTAACTTGCAGACTCATCCATGACGAGGCCTTCTGCGAGCCGGATCTGAGCGGGGACAGCACGCTGGTGGCCCTGAGGCTGGAAAACAACTACATCGACCCCAACGGGGTCTCCCCCTCAGCCTTCTCCTGCATTAGGGCCTCCTCCAGTGTGGTCCTAAAGCCCCAGAACACCAAATGACCACCGGAAGCCAGGAGAAGCCCACTAAAAGGGTTTTGGATTTGAATCTGCCAAAGAAAAGTCAGGAAGTCCCATTCAGAGAAACAGGACATGAGGAGGAAACCAGGAAAAGAGCTCCTCCAGACCTCACAAACTGTCTCCTTTGGTACAAAGTCGGA